GGTTTGGGACGTCCCGACCAACTTTGAAATTCTCTAGCTCGGCCAAATCGAAGTCGAATCGGCTGATTTTTGGACGAATCGATTGCTCTCGTCAAGTTCTCGAAGCACAGCCGAAGAGTCCGGCGCAATTTGTTCAATTACGCTCACATTGAAGTCGGTTTGAAGATTTGATTTCCACACAGGGCGCGACGCCGCACGCCGTCTTCGCGCGGCGCGTCGCGGACCGGCGCTCCGCGGCGCGGCGCTCGCGGTCGCGGTAGTTGGACGCGCGCACCTCCTCGAGGTGGCGCGTGCGGCGCCGCTGGTCGAAGCCGAGCTGGAAGAAGGTCCGTAAAAACTCCGCGCCGTCGACGAAGCCGTCGCCCGACGCGTCGAAGATGGACACGACGGCGCCGAGCTGCTTCGGCGTGAAGGTCACGTGGAAGCAGCGCTTGAGCTGGTCCTCGAAGACGGCGGGGTGCATCTCCGCGCCCTGGAAGCCCGTCAGGGGCATCGCGTCCGTGTTGTCGGCGTCGTAGTGCTCCGCCGCCGCGCAGATCCGCCGCCGCGCGACGAGCATGTCCTCGTCGGAGAAGTTGGCGTCGTAGCGCGCGTCCATGGCCTTGCGCTTGGCGCGCGCCGCGGCCTCCTGCTTCCGGACCTCCTTGGCCGCGCGCGCGGCCTTGGCGTCGCGCGCCGCGCGGTCGCCGTCGGCCTTGATCGCGAAGCTCCGGGAAAAGAAGGTCTTCATGAACTCGGCGCCGTCGATGGTGCCGCCGCCATCATTATCAAAGCAGGCGAGGAGCGCGTAGGCCTCGGGCTCGCTGAGGCGCAGGCTCGGGAAGGCGCGCTGGAGCTGCTGCTGGAACGACGCGGCGTTCATCGACGCGCCGTCGAAGGCGCGCAGGGACTGCTTGTCGCGCACCGAGTCGTAGCGGAGCGCCGCCTGCTCGAGCTTCGCCATGGCGGACCGGAGCACGGGGTCCGCCTCCTCCTCCGGCGCATCCGGCGGCGCGGCGTCGGCCATTCTAGCGTTAGGGGCAGCCTCGGTTCATAAATCTCGCGCGGTTCAAGTTCGTCTCTTTTTGAAGAAAATTAGTGGACGCGCGCGCGGACCGGGGGCCGGTCGTCGTCGGAGTCGTAGGCGGCGTGCTTCGGCGCCTGGCGCCGGTGGAGCGTCGGGTGGGCCGGCGCGCTCCCGCCGTCGGACGACGCGCCGTCGGAGGACTCGTCGCCGCTCGACGAGGCCTCCGCCGGCGCGTCGCGGGCCGTCTCGTAGTCCTGGGTTTCGTCGTAGTCGCTGTCGCGCACGGTGACGCAGGTCAGGCACGCGCAGAGCGCCGCCGCGAAGAGCAGGAGCAGCGTCCTCGCGAGGTAGTCGTCGGCGGCCGCGCGCCAGGTCCAGGCGTAGGCGACGCGCACGGCCGGCGCGAAGCGGCTCGGCTCCGGCTCGCCGCCCCGGCGCGCGAAGTCGTCGCCGCCGTAGGCGCCCGTCGCGGCCGCGGCGACGATTGCCGCGCCGTCGTGCGTCAGCGCGACGTCGACGCGCGACAGGCGGCGGCCGTTTCCGTCCTGGAAGGGGAGCCAGGAAACCGCGACGCCCGGCGCGAAGGCGAGGCGCAGCTCGCTCGCCGCGCCGCCCACGCCCGGCGGCAGCGGCACGCCGCGCAGCAGCGGCGCCGACGTCTCGCGGAAGTTGGGCGCCGACGGCGAGACGACGTCGATCCACTCCGTCTCGACGCCGCCGCCGCGGCTCTTCGCGCGCACGCGCACGCGGTCGCCGTAGTCGTAGGCGGCGGCCGCGCGCCAGGCCAGCGCCGCGACCGCGAGGCGCATCATATCGTTGTGGCAGAAAAAAACCTTTTCTTGAAGACTTCAAGAAAAGCTGTGACAATCGCACGGCCTCCTCGCACACACCTCATCGTCCATGAGCCGCTCCGTCGTCGTCGTCGTCGCGTGGTGGCTGGCGTCGCCGGCCGCCGCGAAGCGGTGGCGCGCGCCGGAGCGCGAGCCGGGGCTGCCCCTGGCGCTGGTCGTGGGGCTGCCGAAGATGGTCTCCCCCCGGCGTCTCCGCGCGGTGGCGTCTCGCACATACCGCGCGCGCGCAGGGCACGACGTCGCTGCGCAACTACTTCCACTGCAGCGGCTACCGCGCGTCCCACATGGCCTGCAGCAACGGCCCCCACTGCGGCGCGTGCGTGAGCGAGTTCGCCGCCGCGGTCGGCAAGCTCGGCGCAGGGCCACGAAACGGTGATTCAACGTCGCTTCAACGTGGGTGTTCCGCGCGCGCGTGATCCAGAAAAGCATCCACGCTTCGAGAGCGCTCCGAGAGATGATCGCTCGTCCAAGAATCGGCCGAAACGAGTGGAAACCGGCCGAGATAGGAGCCTTGGGAATTCCGCACCCTTCTGCGGCCCAGGCTCGGCGTCCGCCGCGGGCCGGACGCGCTCGGCGACCAGACGCGGCTCTTCCGCAAGCTCTGCGGCGACTTTGACGCGTTCACGCAGCTCGACAGCGTGACGACGACGGGCTGCGTCGCGCCCCAGGTGTCGCACCTCGCGGCGCTCGTGAAAGCGCTGCCGTCCGCGTGCTTCGTGCTCAACACGCGGCCGCTCGACGCGTGGCTCGCGTCCGTGCGCGCGCACGTGACGGCGCACCGCTACGCGAACTGGTCCATGTACGACCGCATGGTGGCCAACTGCCCCGTGCACCCGCGCAACGGCGCGGGCCTCGCGGCGTGGGCGGCGCGCCACGTCGAGCGCGCGACGGCGCTCGTGGAGCGCGCGCGGTGCGGCGTCGTCGTCGACATCGAGGGCGACGTCAGGGCCGTCGGCGCGCGCCTCGCGGCGAAGCTCAACGGCACGCACGCGCGCTGCTGGGGCCAGGCGAACGCGCGGCCGCGGCCGCCGGCGCCCGCGCGGCGCCGCCTCGCGGCCGCCGCCGCCGGCGGCCGGCGGGCTGGCGCGCGCTCGCGCCGCCGGGGACCGTCGACGGGACCTGCACCTTCGCGTTCCGCGCCGGCCTCGGCCCCGGCGGGCCCGGCCCGCGGCTCGACGTCGCCTTCGACGGCGGAGCCGCGAGCTTCGAGTACGGCGCCGCGGTCGACGACGCGCGCTTCGCGGCGCGGCCCCGGCTCTGCCGCTACCGCGGCGCGCCGGCGAGCGGCGCCGTCGCGCTGCTCAGCGTCGCGAGCGACCTGGGCTACCTCTTCTTCCACTGGCCCTACGTCGTCAACGCCGCGGCGTACGCGGCGCGGTTCGGCCTCGCGTTCCACCTCTGGGTCGGCGAGCTGCCCGCGGCGCTCGCGGCGTCCGCGGGGCCGATCTGTTTGCGGTCGCGGTGGCGCGAGGGCGCCGGCTTCGGCGGGCCGAACTCGAACCACTACAACAAGGTCCTCGCCGCCGCGGCGCTTTTAGACCGGCCCGGCGTGCCCGGCGTCCTCTTCCGGGACGTCGACATGTTCGCGCCGGCGGGCGGCGGCGGCGCGCGCGACCCCCGCGACCTCCACGAGCACGGCCGCGTCGACGCCGCGTTCCCCTGCACGTCCAAGATCGACCGCGCCGCGCCGCGACGGAAGCGCGGCGGTCCCCCGCGGGGCTTCCGCCTCAAGAGCACGAAGTTCTACCTCCGGCGCGGCGGCGCCGCGCGCGCGCGCGCCCGCGCGGGCCATCGACGCGCGAAACGGCCTCGTCCCGCGACGCTCCGGACCGCGCGGTCTCGGCCGACGTTCGGACGGATCGTCTTCCCTCGGCGAGCGCTTCTCAGACGGCGACAGACGCATGTCGAAACCGAAGACGTGCCTATTGAAGTCGAATGATTTGCGGTTCCCGCGCAGGCGCTCCTCGACGGCTGGCTCGACGCGCGCTGCGGCGCCAAGGACCAGATCGCGCCTGGGCCGAATTCAAATCTTCAACTCGACTTCAATGTGAGCGTACGCGACAGTTTCGACGCAACCTCTTCGGCTGTGCTTCGAGAACTCGACGAGAGCGATCGATTCGTCCAAAAATCAGCCGAATCGACTTCGATGTGACCGAGCTAGAGAATTCTCAAGTTTGGTCAGGACCACCCAAACGAGTGGTTGAATTCGGCACAGGATCGCGCTCTGGTACGCGGTCTACGCGCTGGCCAGGGAGCGGGGCTGCCTGACCTACGACCCGGCGGCGCTCGTGAACATGACCTACGCGGACGCGCGCGTCGGCCCGCGCCGCGGCGGTCCGCGCGCGCGCGGCGAGCGACCCGCGGCGGCCGCAGGTACCACACGGAGCGGCCGAGCCTGAACTACGTCTTCCGCCGCTGCGCGGCCTTCCGCTTCGCCTGCGGCCGCCAGTTCGTCATGCCGGAGGTGGTCCACGAGGGCCACACGCCCCGGGCGGACGGCGCCAACGTGTCCGTCGGCGGCGTCCCGCTCGCGTTCGCGCCGCGCCGCGACGGCGCGCCGCTCCTCGACGGCGCCTACCGGGCCCACCTCGGCCTCGACGCCCTCGACATGGCGGCGCTCTACGGCGCGGGCGCCGACCTGCCGGGGGGGAGCTAAGGCCGGCGGCCGGGGGCGAGGCGTCCGAGGAGGCGTCCGACGCGTACGCGCACCGCAAGCCCCGGCGAGTTGCCACAACTGTAGGCAACGATGGCAGCTCAAATCTCTGCCTCAGCATCACCCGACGCAGCTCAAATCGCGGCATCACCGGGCGGCGCCGTCGAGGACGCGGCCCTCGCGGACTACGAGAGCGAGATGCGCGCGTCCCGCGAGGAACTCCTCAAGAAGATCGCGCGGTCGTCCGAGGACATCGCCGGCCGCTGCCGCGACGCCATGGAGCAGTCCAAGGAGAACGTGTCCGCGAGCCTCTTCGACGACGAGGAGCGGGCGCGCGTCGTCGAGGCCTACGCGGCCAAGCTCAAGGCGAGCCGCGAGGAGATGGTCGCCAAGGTCGAGGCGCAGCAGGCCGAGGAGCGGCGGCGGCTCGTCGAGGACCTCAAGGCCGACGTGTCCGGCGTCGTCGACGACGTCGTCGCGGGCCTGCGCGACGACCTCGCGGGCGCCTACGCGGCGCGCGAGGCCGCGGCGCGCGAGGCGCGCGAGGCCTCCGCCAAGGCCGCGCTCGACGCGCACGCGGCCGAGGTCCAGGACTTCAACCGGCGGCAGCTGGCCGAGCTCCGCGACGCGATGGCGCGGCACCGCGACGACGCGCTCGCGCGCTACGAGCGCGACATGGCGGCCTTCCGCGACGACCAGCTCGCGGAGCTCGGACCTCCAGGGCGCGGCCTACGACACGGACGACGGCGACCTCGACGACCGCGCCGCGCGCGCGGCGCGCGGCGCCTCTAGCCCCTACGACGCGTGAGGCCGGGGACGCGCGCCGGAGGAGGGGGCGTAAGGCGGACCTGTTTTGCTTTTGGTTTCGTGGTTTCGAACGGCGGAGGGGACGCGGTAACGGCCATCGCGGTCCATGGGTTTCGCTCTTCGAACCGCTGGCTGGGCGAAATGATTTTGACGCCGCCGTGCCACGATCGGGTAGATTGGACCGACAAGTACGCGTTGCGAAGTTGCACCCTTCAAGAAAACTACCTAAGGTGGTCCAAGCCAAAGGTGCACACTCAAGGAATTCAAAGCTCTTGCGAGGTGTGCTCTCGATCAAACCGCAGTCGATCGGGCCCTCCTGGTGCGTGCCGCGGCGCGCGACGCTCGCCCGCGCGCCCCGGTCCGCGCGCGCGACGCGCCCCCGAGGCCGCGCGCGCGCCCGAAACCCGCGACGCGTCGCGCCTCCCCGCGATATTTCAAATCCCCCGCAGATCTTCAAACTCGCCATGGAGAAGCTCACGGTGGGCGGCGTGTCGTCGGTGCTCGGCACGGACGGCGGCTCCGACGCGGGCGACGTCGTGCTCCAGGTCCTCGACGTCAAGCCCCTCGGCGAGGGCAAGAGGCGCGCGCGGCTCTCGCTGAGCGACGGCGCGCAGTGGACGCTCGCCATGGCCGCGACGCAGTGCTTCGACAAGGTCACGGAGCTCGTCGAGGCCCACGCCCTCATCCGGCTCACCAAGTACTCCGTCTCCGAGAACGGCACCAAGAAGTTCGTCATCGTCCTCGGCTTCGACGTCGTCGAAAACGGCGCCGCCGTCGGCGCGCGGCTCGGCGCGCCCCAGGAGTTCGGCGCGGGCGGCGCGACGCCCAAGAAGCCCTACGGCGCGTCCAACGGCGCGACGACGCCGGCGACGGTCCAGGCGTCCTGCGCGCGCGGCCCCATCAGCGTGAACCACGGCGACGTCAAGACGGTGCCCGTCGCGTCGTTGAACCCGTACATGAACCGGTGGACGCTCAAGGCCAAGGTCGCCGTCAAGAACGATATTGTCTCCTGGTCCAACGCGCGCGGCGACGGCACGCTCTTCAAGGTCACGCTCGCGGACGCGGACGGCGAGGAGATCGAGGCGGTCTTCTTTAAAGAAGCGTGCGCCAAGTACCACGCGGCGCTCGTCGAGGGCGGCGTCTACTACTTCTCCGGCGGCAAGGTCAAGCCGTCGAACCCGCGCTACAGCGCGACCAAGTGCGGCTACGAGGTCACCTTCGACATGGCGTCGAAGATCGAGGCGTGCGCGGACGCGTCCGGCATCGGCCTGTGTGGAAATCAATTCTTCAACCCGACTTCAATGTGCCCGTATTTGAAAGCTTCGACGCGAGCGCTTCGGCTGTGCTTCGAGAACTCGACGAGAGCAATCGATTCGTCCAAAAATCAGCCGAATCGACTTCGATTTGACCGAGCTCGAGAGGTTTGAAGTTTTTGCTGGACAGGGCGTTCCACTGGTTGATTTCCACACAGGCATCGGCGGCACCAAGTACGACTTCGTCAAGATCTCCGCGCTCGAGCAGGCCGACGAGGGCCAGGTCATCGACGTCCTCGCCGTCGTCAAGACCGCCGAGGACTGCGCCGAGGTCGTCTCCCAGAAATTGGGCGGCAAGACGCTCACGAAGCGCGACGTCACGTTGGTCGACGCGTCGGGCGTCGACGTGCGGCTCACGCTCTGGGGCGAGCGCGCGAAGCAGGACCAGTTCGCGGCGGCGCCCGTCGTCGCGCTCAAGGGCGTCAAGGTCTCCGAGTACCAGGGCACGAAGTCGCTCGGCTTCCTCCGGTCGTCGCGCGTCGCCTTCGAGCCCGAGGACGCGGCGGGCTACGAGGAGCTCAAGGCCTGGTGGGCCAACGGCGGCGCGTCGGCCGCGTCGACGTCGCTGTCGCGCGTGTCCAACGCCGGCGGCGGCCTCAAGGGCGAGAAGTTCGCGGACCGCCGGGGCCTGCAGGACCTCAAGGACGACGCGCGCTTCGGCCAGGGCGACAAGCCCGACTACGCGACCTTCAAGGCGACGCTCATGAAGGTCAAGGAGGACCGCCTCTGGTACGAGTCCTGCGGCGACGGCTGCCAGAAGAAGGTCACGCAGGGCACGGACGGCACGTACTCGTGCGAGAAGTGCGGCACGACCAAGGAGGAGTGCGAGCGCCGCTACATCGTCTCCTGCTGCTTCGTCGACGCCTCCGGCAGCTCCTGGGTCTCCGCCTTCAACGACGCGGGCCTCGTCCTCTTCGACGACGTGTCCGCCAACGACCTCGCGGCGATGAAGGACGGCTCCGAGGCCGACTTCGAGGCCTTCCTCAAAACGACGGCCTACTTCGGCGACTACCTCGTCCGCGTCCGCGCGAAGACGGAGACGTGGAACGACCAGTCCCGCGTCAAGACGTCCGTCGTCAACATCGCGCGCCTCGACTACGCGGCCGAGTCCCGGAGCCTCCTCGCGGCCCTCGCGGCCTAGAAGGGGCCCCGCCGCGCGAAAGAGCGCGTCCGTACTAAGCAGCGGACCGGAGTTCGGACGCGGCGTCGGTGGAGCGCTTTGGCGCTCACGGTCGGAATGTGGACTTGTGGTGGTCGTCGTCGATGGTCGAGTAGAGGTGGCCCTCGGAGGCGAGGAACTCGACGATGTGCTTGACCTGGTTGAGGTCCATGGCGAGCGAGCTCGCGACGGAGTTGACGTTGCAGCCCTCGTCGCCCGTGCCCTCGGTCGTGTAGAATCTGAAGACCCTGGCCTGGTCCGCGGTCATGCCGCGCGAGGTCTCGGCCGTCGTGGCCCACGGTGGCGAAGGGGTTGAGCGCCGCGGCTCGTACTCGTAATCGAGGAAGGCATTGTCAATGTCGATGCCGTCGACGGGCGCCTCGATGACGGGCGGCGGCGGCGCGGCGGGCGTCGAGGCGTCGCCGGACGTGTTGGGTCCATCGGGGAAGAGAATCGGGGGCGATGGGACCGCGCCGAGGAGAAATTCGCCACGAGCCGCGGCGTGCCGATTGAGGCTACGCTGGAGCCGCTCGAGCTCCAGCCGGAGCTGCGCATTCTCCCGCTTGATCACCGCGAGATCCGAAGGATTCGTTGAGCGCTGCGGTCCTGCCGTCCGGAGCCCAGACCGCTGCGCCTGGACCATATCAAGGACGCTCGCGACGCCGTCGGTGCCCGCTTCGGTGCCCTCGTTCGCGAGAGCGTCCACTTGCAGCCCGAGCTCCACGGCCCGGAGCATGAGGCTGATCTCAGCCGACGCGCTCGGCGACGACGAGTCGAGCGCCTCTGCCAGCAGGAGGTGGTCCTTCACGGAGGACAGCACTCCGGGAAGCTTGCCCTCGGCCTTGGCCTTGGCGCTCTCGACGTGCCACGCGGCCGCCGACTCGTCCACGACGACGCCGTTCTCGATCGCCGACTCGATCAGCGCGCGCGTCGATCCGCAATCCGTCAGACGGGTTCCGATGGGCGCGTTCGTCAGCGGCGACCGAGCGTTCGACGACAACCAGCGCTCGATGGCGTCGCGCTCGTAGACGTGCCCATCCTCGGCCATGACCGGCCGCACGCAGAGCCGCAGCGAAATGGGACACGTGAGCCGCCCGACGACATACCGCGCGAACCGTTCCGTCGGTTCCGACGGACCGGCCTCGGCGTACGACGTCGTCACCTGGTCCCGCAACGCCTGGACGTCGACGCCGCCCGGGTCCTCGTCGGCTCCAGAAGCACGCGAGGAGAAGGACGTCGGCCGCGTCGCCGGCGCCGTCGGCGGCGGCGGCGGCTCGCTCGCACCAACTCCTAAGGCGGCGGCTAGCTCATCTGCCGTCAATTCTTGCCGATCGGTTCGCACTGATGGTTGGGGGGGGGTGTGGGGTGCCAAAAAATTCGTCATGTCAACTTGAGAAGCGCCCTCGCCGATTCGGGGGGCCGGCGCGGGCGGGTAGTTTTCCATCTGTGTGCAACAATCCGCCGATTCAGCGATTCCGCCACGAGATTGGGCCTGCCTGTCAGATTGCCCCTGGGCAGTGCCCGCGTCCGCCCAAGGCAGGCGCGTAGGCGGGGTGCGTCGCCTAATGCGCTAGAGAGAGAGAATGCCACACCGACCTGCTTCACCGTCTGCGGCCTCCGGCTCCGCGTTCGGCGTCGTGCTCTCCGCCGCCGTGGGCCTCGGCCCTCGCCGCGCTCGCCTGAAGCTGGCGTTCGTCCAGCGACGCCCGCGCCGCGCGCGCGGGGACACCCCGCGTCCCCGAACCGGAGCGAGAAGGCCCCTAGGACACGTCGGGCCGTAGCCCGCTGGCGCGCGCCTAGAGGGGCGGCGTCGGCGGGGACGCGGGCTTCGGCGCGGCGGCGCCGGGCGCGTCGAGGGCCGCCTGCTCGCCGTCGGAGTTGCCGTCGGAGAGCGCGACGGAGATGGTCTCGCTGTCCGCGCGCATGCGGCCGAGGCTCGACACCTTGGCGAGCCCCGCGGCCGCGGGCTCGAGGATCGCGTCGATGGCCTTGAGCTCGTCCTCGAGCTCGGCGAGCCGCGCCTTCTGCCCCGCGACGGCCCGGGCGACGTCCTTGCGCTTCTGCACGAGGCGCGCGCGCTCCGCGTACGAGCTCAGGAGCACGCATAAACCGACGTCCGACGCGAAGTGCACGCGGCTCAGCTGGACGTTGTAGGCGTCCTCCTTGACGATGGGCGCGACGGCGTGGTCGCCCAGAAGCTCCGGCGCGGCGACGGCGCCGACGCCGACGTCGTGGCACCGCTTCACCAAATCGCGCGCGATCGCGGGCGACACGACGGAGTCGCGCGCGTAGGCCGGGTGGGCCGCGACGAAGTCGCGCACGTAGCGCGCCGCGGTCTTGAGCTCGCCCGTGGCCCGCCCCAGGATTAAATCCACGTAGACCTTGACGCGCTCCGCCGTGCCCGGGTCGCAGCCGATGGAGTCGAGGTAGACGAGGACCAGGGGCACCAGGCCCGGGTAGTAGCCGCCCTTGCCGCCGAGGATCTCCGCGCAGGACATCTTCTCGACGGAGTCGCCGTCGACGTCGCCGTTGCCGCCCGCGGCCGGGCACGCCGCGCCGCCGGGCCGGACGAGGTGCGACCGCCACCAGAACTGGCCCGTCGTCGCCGCGTCGCGCGCGTGCGCCGCCTTCATGTTCTCGTGGACCTTGGACATGGGCATGTAGATGTTGAGGTCGAAGCTCAGGAGCACGCGGAGCACGAGCACGCAGAAGACGGTGAACGCCGCGTTCTCGAAGTCCGTGAGCTGCACCTCCATGGTCCGCAGCTCGACGCGCCAGCCGATCTTCGCCTCGTTCTTGCCCGCGGGCGGCGGCTTCCAGCGCACGGAGTTCCAGTTCGTCGACTGGAGGTTCTCGAAGTGGTCCGTCGCAACGGCGTCGTCGAGCTCCTCGACCATGCCCTCGAAGAGCACCAACGGGTCGCGGACGAAGAGGTGCGCGACGTGGCGCGCCAGGAGCGCGTCGACGCCGTTGCTCGTGAGCTGCTCGAAGGCCCAGGGGTCGACCTCGACGTCGACGTCGTTGTAGCGCGCCGCCGTGCCCCGCGCGGACATGTAGGACTTGACGCCCGAGTAGCGGCTCGAGCCGACCGGCTTCACCCCCCGGTTCGCCATGCGGTCGTCGCCCGACACGTCCGCGCCGGGCTCGGACCGCTCCGCGGGCGTGCGGCAGTCCACGGACTGCTCGATGACGTTCCAGCGCACGTCGTGGTCGGACAGCAGGCCCTTGAGGATCGGGCACGCGGCCGTCAACGCGAGCATGACGGGCGCGAGCACCGCGAGCTGGTCGTAGACGTGGCGCGACTCGTCGACGTCGCGGCACTGGAACGTCACCTGGAGGCAGCAGCAGCCCATGCCAAAGGCCATGGCGTCCATGGCGATGTCGCCGACCGCCGTCTTCTCGTCCCTAAAGACGGGCGAGCGGACGTCGACGTTCGAGCCGCGGCGCGCGCGGATGTTCGCCGTGAGCGCGCCGAAGCGCGGGTGCGGGTTGATGACGGCGTCGGGTACCAATCTCGAGTTCGCCGCGGGGCCCGGCGCCGGCGGCGGGTCGCAGCCGAGCCGCGGGAAGACGACCATCGTCGGCGCGACCTCGCCGTCCTCGAGCGCCGCGAGCAGCCGCGCGCGGCGGCTCCGCATGTTCGTCTCGACGCGCCGCAGGTCGTCCGTGAAGCCGCTGTAGGGCACCGCGGGCGTCGACTCGACCATCCAGCTCCCGTACTCCGGGTGCCACGTGACCTTGCCCGACTCGGGGATCGCGCGCCGCTCCTCGAGCTCCCGCGCGTTGAGCGTCGCCCGCACGGCGGCGCCCCGCAGGCTCAGCGCGACGCCGCCGGCGCTCAGCGCGAAGAGGCCGTACTCGATCTCGTCGCCGTAGTAGAGCGCGTCCTTGGTGATGTGCTCGTACTTGCGGTAGTGGTTGATGAACTGCAGCACGCCGTGGTCGCGCACGTAGCGCAGGTGCGGCAGGGCCTCCTCCCAGCTCAGGGGGCGGCCCACGGTCAGGACGCCCATGGTGCGCGCGGTCGCTCGTCGGCCGGCGGTTCGCGCAACGGTACGTGCGGTGCTGGCGGCGCGCGCTGCAGGCGGTGCGACGACGCCCCGTCTTCAGTCGAGTTCCTCTGTCTTCCCACAAGACGCCGAGAGAGGCCGACGAGGAGCTGCGCGAACGCCACGAATGCGACGGTGAAGTTTTCATCGGCGACCGGGAACCCAGTGGCAGTGTGGTAAATCTTGAGGCAATTCCTAGGGCATGGGGCACGCATGGGGCACGCGCAGGTTCCGGAACGTCGCCACGAGGGCCAAGCTGATGCCGGAGCGCTAGCGCAACGCACCGTCACCGCGACCATGGCGCGCCGCCGCTGACATGGCGCCCGCGCCGACGACGGCCGTCGTCGTGCGCTGCCACGATCCGACAGACGCGGCTCTTGCGCGCATCGGCGCCTGGGCGCGGTCGCTCGACGGCAGCGGCGTCGCGCTCGTCGTGAGCGTCGACCAGACGACGCAGGGGTCGTCGCGGCGCCGGGCCCGGCGCGGGCGGTCGCGCGGCCCCGCGCGGCGCGTCGCCGCCGCGCTCGGCGGCCTCGGCCGCGTCCACGTCTACGACGAGCGAGCGCTCGTCGCCGCGTACCCGTGCCTCGCCGCGGCCGCGGCGACGGCGCACGTCGCCGGCGCGCGCGAGTTCCGCACGGGCGCCGTGAGCCTCGCCTGGGGCTTCCACTGCGAGTGCCTGAACCTCTGGTACCAGGCCTTGGCGCGCAAGTTCGACTTCGTGTGGAGCAGCGTCGAGCGACGGGAGTGTTTTTTCGCGTGAATTTCGCCTGAAGATGTGAAGCAATCCGACCCCGTCGCACTCGGTAGGTGTGGAAGCTCGAGGACGACGTCGGCTACAGCGGCGACCTCCGCGAGTTCGTGGGCCGCTTCGACGCGGAGCCCGCGGACCTGCTGACGGCGGACGCGGGCCACCGGCCGGGGAGCCGCTGGTGGTGGGCCGACGCGGCGACGCCCGCGTACCTCGCGGCCTACGCGCCGCGCGACCGCCTCGCGTCGCGCGAGCACGCGCAGCGCTTCTCGCGGCGGCTGCTCGACCGGCTCCACGACCTCCACGGGCGCGGCGTCACGGCCTGGTCCGAGGCGCTCGCGGTGACGGTCTGCGCCGCGGCGCCGGACCTCGTCCTGGAGCGCCTGCCGCCGTCCGTCCTCGGCGACCCCTACGCGCACGACGGCCGCGTGAGCGAGCGCGCGTGGCGGGACGTCGTCGACGGCCGGTCCGCGCGGAAAAAGCGCAAGCTCTACCACGCGCTCAAGTTCTAACCCGCGGGTCCCTACCAGCACGCGTGCCTGAGGCACGCGTCCTTCGCGGCGTTGGCCTCGTAGTGCTTGCGCATGCCGTCGACCTTGTCCTGCTTGATCTCGCGCGCCTTCTTGTGCCCCGCGCCCGCGTTCGCGTGGAACATGACGTTGTCGGTCTTGAAGTACATGTGGAAGGCGCCCGACGCGGGGACGCGCGTCTTGAGGTAGGACTCCGTCGCGACCTCCAGCGGCAGGAAGCCCCAGGCCACGGCGCTCCGCAGGCCGAGGAGCTCGGGCCGCCGGAGGAGCCGGTTGAGCACGAACTGGTCGCTCGGCGCGCGGCACGCGGTGCCCGCGCCCTTGCGGCAGATGCGCTCGTAGCGCGTGTCGTTCCAGGGCAGCGTCACGCCCGCGATGACGCCCTCGAGGAGCGCGCGCACGCGGTCGTTGCAGCGGAACGCGAAGAAGCCGAGGTTCACGTCGCGCTTGTCCGCGGCGTCGCGCTGGAAGACGACGTCGCGGTCCGCTAAAAGCCGCCGCACGGCGGGCGCGACGGGCCGGAAGAAGACGAGGTCCATGTCGCTGACGACGGCGACCGCGGCGGCGTCGGGCGCGTCCGCGACCGCGCGGAGCGCGAGGCGCATCTTCGTGAGCCAGCGGCCCTGGCCCTCGACGGCCGCGGTCGGGTGCAGGTCGCCGGGCCGCCGCTCGCGCAGGTCCCAGTCGTCGCGGAGGCCGCCCACGAAGGCGTCGCGCATGGCCTGGGACCCCGCGTCCGCGCCGGCGACGAAGTAAAGCGGGTACCGCGGCGGCGGCTCGAGCGCGGTCTCGCTCATGGCCCGCCGCGCGCCGTCGGCGTCGACCGCGACCGGATCGAGCGCCGGCGCCCGGAGGCAGCCCCGGTAGAGCTGGCCGACGCGGAGGACCTCGGGCACGTCCTCGAGCGCGTAGCGGCCCGACGACCCGCAGCAGCCGCGCCGCTCCGTCGCGTCGTAGGCCGCGTCCACGCCGGCGTAGGCCGCGGGCACGGGCGCGGCGCCGGGGACGCAGCAGACCTGGTCCGCGGCGTCGTGGCGCGCCCCGTCGACGTAGAGCGCCAATTCGCCGTCGGCGGACCGCGCGCCGAGCACGTGGTGCCACGCGCCGTCTAAAAGAGATTCGCGGCTCCGGAGCGTCGTGTCTTTCGGCGGCGGGAAGGCCTCGTCGTGGGGGCCTCTGCCCTCGAGGTCCGGCACGTGGCGGTAGCCCGCGCCGAAGAGCGCGCGGCCGTCGCCCGAGAGGCTCAGCCCGAAGTCGTTGCCGCTCGTCCGGTTCCGCCAGACGGCGTCCTGGCCCTTCCAGAGCGCCGGCGGCGGGTCCCGGAAGATGCCGGAGACGAGCGTGCAGCCCTCGTGCCACTGCGCCGCGTCGCCCGCCGCGTAGGCGCGGCCCTTGAGCGGCGCGCAGCCCTCCGTGGACTTGAGCCACACGGACACGGACAGCGACCGCAGGCCCGTGCCGCCGCCGAGGCGGCCGAGCGGCTCCTCCTGCCCGGCGCCGCAGAGCATGGCGGCGGCGACCGGGGCGAGGAGCGACGCGCCCCAGGCGCGGAGGCAGCCCCGGGCCATCGTCGACACTGTGGACAAAGCCAACCTCAACCTTGAGCAAGGTGACGCTGACTCTAATAGAGCTGCCCCGACTGAGGTGTTCAAGGGCGATGTCGCGCGCCGCCGTTCTTGTCGTCATGCTGCGCGTCGCCGCGGCGCTGCAGCGGCCGCGGACCGTCGTGCTCACGGGCGGGCCCTGCAGCGGCAAGACGACGGCCCTCGAGACGCTGCCCGGCCGCCTCCCCTGCGGGTCGAAGGTGCTGCGCGTCAAGGAGGCGGCGACGCTCTACCACGAGCGCGGCGGCGCGCTGCCCTTTGCGCGCGGCGAGCCCGACCGCGACGAGCTCTGGGAGGCCTGGCTCGTCGAGCTCAAGCTGAGCCTCGAGAACGCGGCGCTGCGCAAAGCGGCGCGGCTGCCCGGGCCCGCCGTCGTCGTCTGCGATCGCGGCGCTCTCGACTCGCGGGCCTACTGCGCCGACGACGCCGCGTGGGGGCGCGTGCTGGCCCTCGGGGGCTGGTCCGAGGCCGACCTCGCGGGCCGCTACGACGCCTGCGTCCACTTCTCCGTCGCGCCGGAGGACGCCTACGACTTTGGCAACGCCGCGCGCACGGAGACCCACGGCGACGCCGTCGCGCTCGGCGGCCGCGTCCTCGACGCCTGGCGCGGCGCGGCGGCGGCCCACGGCGGGCCGGCGCCCGCGGCGCTCGCGGACGCGGCGACCTTCCCCGCGAAATTAACGGCCGCGCACGACGCGATCGCCGCGGCCGCGGCCGCGCCGCCGCGGGACGGGCCGCCGCCGCCGGCGCTGGCGCTGCCCGCGGCCTACGTCGTCGGGCAGGCGGACCGCGTCGCGCGGGCCGACGACCTCGCGGCCCTCCGCGACCCGTCCGCCGCCGTGCTCCGCCACGTCCAGCGCCTCCGCCGGCGACACGAGCTCCAGCAGGCCTCGTGACCTCGCCCTACACCCGCCGCCATTACCCGCCCGGGCAAACGGGGTCAGAGCGAGATCGTCAGGGGCCGCTCGCGCGGCGGCGCCGGCGGCGGCGGCGCGGCGAACCCGTAGNGCGCCGCCGCCGCGCGCCGCTCCACGTCCGAGAACGCGGCCGTGAGCGGCGGCTCCGGGAGGTGGATGCCGAAGGCGTCGAGGCACCGCGCGCGGAACAGGCTCTCGAGGTCCGCGAGGCCCGCGCTCGCGGCGTCGTCGAGCTCGCCCCGGCGCGCGAAGCCGGCGCCGGCGCCCGGGAAGTGGCGCGCGACGCGGTCCGGCCGCGTGTGGAGGACCGCGGCGACGAACGCGTCCCGCGGGCAGCCCGGCGCGCAGTGCGGCGCCGTGCCCTCGTCGAAGCGCGCGCAGAGCGCCGCCGCGAAGCGGTACTCGACGCCGGCCCGGTCCATGGCGCCCTGGCGGAGCGCGGGCTCGTCGCG